GGAAAAAGTCCCAAAAATATCAAAATTACTCGCGATAATCCCGAAGTCCCGGGAGGCCCAAAAATCCGAAATTAGTCCCAAAGATCCCTAAATAGCCCCGAAAGTCCCAACAGTCCCGAAAATATTCCCGAGAAGCCCGAAAACTCCATAAATCCGAAATAATCCACAAAAATCTGGAAATAGTCCCCAAGGACCGATATAAGTCCCAAAAATCGAAAAATAGTCCCGGAGTCCCAAAAATTTCGAAATTACTCCCGAGAGTTGCAAAATGCTGCCGAAAGTCCCAAAGTACCGAAAACCCGAAACAGTCCCGAAAGTCCCAAAAGCTTGAAATTAGTCCTAAAAATCCAAAAATAGTCCAGGAGTCGCAAAACTCCCGAGAATCTCGAAATTCTCCCGAAAATCCCGCTATTAATTCCGAGAATCCCGAAAGTCCCAAAAATCCCGAAACTAGTTCCAAAAATACCTAAATATTGTGAAAGTCGTCTCGAAAATCCCGATATTAGTTCCGAGAATCCCGCAAATCTCAAACCCTAAATTCCTAAAGAATTACGATATCCCAAAATAGTCCCGAAAACCCAGAAGTAGTCTTGAAAATCCTGATTTAGTCTGAGGAATCTCTCAAATCCCGCAACAGTTCTCAAATTGAGGTGTGGTGAGTTTAGGTGAGGTGTGGTGAGAACGGGTGTGATGAGTTCAACTATGGTGAGTTAAGATTTGGTGGATTTTTGTGTAGCAGTCGGTGTGGTAGGTTTAGGTGAGGTGTGGTGAGTTTGTATGTGGTGAGTTGATTTGTGGAGACGTGAAGTGTGTTGTGGTAAAGTAAGTTGAAGTGAGTGTAAGGTGGGATGTTAATTCTCTAAATTTCTCCTAAATTATACAGTATTTAGTAAAGTAAAAGGGAAAGTATTTACCCATCGACTAAATACCTTGGAACTTTAGCGAAAGTATTTTGCATCCCCAAGGTACATGAGTACTTTGGACCAGAGTATTTAGCGCCTACTAAATACTTTCGTCTTTTGTACTTTGATATCTAGCAGCTCCTAAATACTTAAGTTTTTCTTACTTTAATATCTAATAGCTCCTAAATACCTAAATACTTTTTACTTGAGTATTTAGCACCACCTAAATACCTAAGTATTGTTTACTTGGATATTTAGCAGCTCCTAAATACCTAAGTGCACTATAAATCTACACTGAAATGTGAACCTGCTAAAACCAAGAGAGATCGATATAACTCGGAGGGACTTCTATCACCAAGTTCTGAAGCAGACAGCACTTGGTCTAATCTTTTACGTTCACTCAGCGAATGTCGTTCTATAAGATGATTTTTTAAATTCTCATATTTACTTTCTGAAGGAGGGGTTTAAATAATATCAAACACCGTCATAATTACCTCTTGGGGAAGTGAAATTATGAGGTACTCGTATTTGGTATTATCCAACGAAATATTTTTTGATGCGAATTGAGCCTCAATATGAATGAACCATGCTATTATGACTTATTGATGTTGTATAATTTTGTGCACTGGATTGCCTATTCACGTTGTTGCTGTTGTCGCAATATTGGCTGCAATTTTAAAGTTGACTGTAACTGCGTTGTTGGTAAAAAAATGTTGGCCGTTATCGGCACTTTGAACTTTTTGTTGTTGGTACCGCTATTGTTGCTGCTGCCGTAACTATTGCTGTTGTAAGTGGTCGTGGTGATGACTGCTGACCGGTGCCGGGTACACAGTGCCATATATAATGTTGTTAGCTATTACCGGGTTTTAGCTTATACACTCCCTCGCTGTAATGCTTAAATTCAACTCTGCTCGCTTTTGTCGCTTCTATTTTAGGGCTGCTAATAGTGCGATTTGCTGTCCAATTATTTCTCAAAAATCCCTTTTTTATCACTTTTTCATTAAATTAGCTTTGGTCAATTCCTTTTTTTTATTTAATCTGGCAGGAAGAAGTTATATTTTACAAATAGCAAGGATAATAGCGTGTATTATATATATGCAATTTAATTTTATTTTAAAAGAGATGTGTTTATTCTATAAAAAATTTTTTATGAATGAATTCCATTTTCTTTACATTTAGATTTTACAAACAAATTAAACAATTATTATTTTATTTAAACAAGTATAAATTCAGCAAGTTATAAGTACTGCAGAAGCGATATTTCTTTCGTATTTAAAATTAAATTTTCTGATGCTTAAGTCGACAGTTGTAATTTTTGATGAGATATAAAGTTCTTTATCGTCTTCGGTAATGTCTCTCGAAAATCTAGAGACAAAGATTGACTTCTTTGGCGGAACCACAACTAGTTTCCTTGTGTCAGACTGGAGTACCGGCGGAGGGGGTTGAGTTACTGCGTTAGCGGTTGAGGATGGGGAAGGCGGTGGGGGCTCTGAAGATGATGCCACCACTTCAATGGGGGAAAGGGAAGATACTACAGGATCGTTATTATCCGAAGCAGATTTCGTTACACGCTCTTTTGAGACTGAGGATTCTGATGCTGGAGGACATGGAGAAGATAGATTAATAAAGTCATTTGGAAGATTATTCTGACGTGCAACGGCAATAATTTCCTTGCTTAATAAGATGTTGTGGGAGATTTTATTGAAGACTTTCGAAAAATCTGTGTAAATCACATCTAGTTGAAAGCCATTACGGAAAGTTGAAATGCAATCTTCCGCAAATACTGCAAGATTTGTCACCGTAGATCTACCAGAACAAAGCCATGTTGGTTTGGACAGATCAATTCCTTGACAATGAAATAAAGTTTAGTTTTGACGATATTTTCGAATATTTTAGCAACTGTGGGTAATTTACTAATCGGCCTATAATTCTCAACGTCGCACTTATTGCCTGTTTTTAAGACTGGCGTGATTGACGTTTGCTTCCAGTCATCAATAAACAGACCTTCGCAAACAGATTTATTGAAGATTTGCAGTAGAGGCTTCACTAGGGAAAAGCAATTTTTGAACAAGATGGCTGAGAAGCCATCTGCGTCCATCTGAGACGAGTTATTTACGTTCATGATACCCTCGATAATATCATCTTCCTTTAGAGCAAGCGAACCTAGGTCTTCGGTAGAATACGCGCTGTTTGAATAGTCAGGTCATTTCCGATACAAATTTAGATGAAAAGAAATCTGCAAAGAGATTTACAGCCTCGGATACAGAAGCCGCCTTATTTTGTTTATAAAAAATAGTCTTGGGTATACTTGAGGCAGATTTCCTCGATTTGATGTAAGACCAAAATTTCTTTGGACAAACCTTAATAGACTCGAAATCGCGAATATAATTATTGTAACGGGTCTTATTTAGTTTACAGAACTCATTTTTGTAGAAACGATATACATAAAACTTATTCCTCAAATTTTGTAGACAGTTTAAATCCTTCGAGAACCACTTACTTTGAGCGACAGTCAGATAAATAGGTTTTGAATAAATTAAAACAACCTTCGACTTTGGTATCCTGAAACAGGACATCCCAATAGAGTTTGAACGAGCGTAAGTGAAACCATTTGAGGCGAACAGCAACATCAAGTTCGCCGTTAGCGTTCGAACCAGCAACGATGTAACGCGTTTTGTCATTTCTGTTTGGCTCAGCATTTTTCTGACTGTTTGAGCGATTTGCGCTTTTGTTGTTGTAGCTGGCCTTTTTGGCACGTAAGCGGGTAGGATCGTCCTTACTGGCCGCAGTATCAACAGCAGCAGCTGCAGCATCTGCATATGATTGTAGAAAGCGATTTACTTCGGTTGCTGGGAGCGCAGAAGCATTCTCAATTAAACCAGTGCCTTCATTTAATACAAGAACGGCTTCCGCGCCGACAGAACTTTTTGCAGGAGAGATATTTAACGATGGAGCTTACATTGTTAGTGGACTTGATACGTTATTAGAGTTGCTGTTGTTTGCGACTTACACATTCTTCGAACAAACAACATCACCAGCTGCACAAGTTGCCCGTTAGCATTGTAAGAAGGCAAGACAGCAGAAGCGACAGTTAAGTCATACAAATTAGGAGAACGATGAATAGAGTTGTTATTGCATGCAGTTAGGCAGACACTAGAGTTCGTTGAATTTGCGAAAATGCGATTGGCAGCATTAACATCGGTGTTTATACCCTTGATGTTGTTGTTGGCAGGGTTATATTTTGATATATTAGTATTATCAACTTGAGTTTTAATGACTTATTAAATTCCCGGTTAAAAGCCATAATAATCGAATCAAAACCATGGGTTTGCGAAGCCAAGACAGCGTCATAGGCTTTACATAGCTTTCCAGGCATGTCCATACAGTCATTACACAGATAAACAATGTTCCGGTTCTTTTTCAAAAGATTCATATCGTATTCCAATATTTGGCCTTTAATATTCAAAAAATTTGAAATCTAATTCCAGCGGCAAGTGATATAAGTTAGGAGGAGATATCGAAGAGGAAGGCTGGGATATTACAAAGTTTATATTGTATGTTACAAAGACTAAATCTAGAAGTCGATTCATATTGTTTCCAAGGCCATTTATTTGTGTTAGGCCAATACTTAAGAAGTTATCAATAACATAAGACTCCACTGGACTGTGTACATTTGAAGGAGTCAAGAATAAATTATTATCTAAATACAACCAGCATTAGTTAC